GTCCGGGACTGGCCCCGCCGCATCCTTTGTGCGGGTTGGGAAGGGAGAATAACCGGCCCTTGGGGCGATGGCAGGTAAAGGTAAAGCTCCTCTGTCCACCCCCTTCTCCCGAGGAAAGGAGCTTGCTTTTCTGCTCCTCACAGCCTCTTCTCTCCGTGTTCTCCGTGCCTGGCGGCTTGTCCCGAGGTCTTGTGAGCGACAGCCATCCCGTTCCCGGCCGCGCTGGGCTATCAGGGCTCGCTGTTAACCATTGCTTCTCCTGGTCCAGGTGCCTCAGTGCATCACCGCCTCGGCTGATGCACGGGCTGCTGGATGCGCTTGGCGCTGGCATTCCTAATCCAGGGGTTAGTTGTGACTCACTTCCCAACTGCGGCGATAGAAAGATTTTGTGGTTTTCAAACAAAAGGCTGTGAAGGAGCTTAATTCTTAGCTGATGAGGGTTTATTCAACTTCCTTTATCTAATAAAGATGAGATGGTGGAGATAATATCTGCGACGTATACAATTGCCTAGGTATGCTTTGGATTGGATTAAAATCAAAGTGCAGGTTCAGAAGCTGCCAATGCAGTGTATTTTAGTTATGGAGGAAATTTTAGTGAAACTTTACCTATCCCTTGACTGAAACCTTCTCTTGGACCTGGAAGGATACTTTTGTTAAAAGTAGAAAAGTTTGTGCTTGTACTTCCCAGCAATCATGGACGAAACCTCTTCTGTGAGATGCAGACTGAAAGTGAGTCGAGTTACTGCTCCTAAAAACCTACTTTCTGAGCTAGGTATCTTTTTCCTGCCTCCATATCCTCTTTAATTGTAATCTCAGATAGAGCAAGGAGCCAGCCTCTTTCATTCGACTGGAGACACGAGGTGATATTGTCTGAGCTCCTACGTGACTCTCGGGTGGCTACTGATGAGACAAATATGTCTTCTAAACAAAACCCTTTTGGGTGAGAGACTTGGTTCAGTGCCTAAGCAAACCGAAGGTATTGGTGGCAAGCACTGGGCAGTGAGACACGTGGTTGTAATATCAAAACCTTAACATATCTGGGCTGTATATTGATTGGGAAATGAGGGTGTTAACAGTGTTAAATGACTTTGGTAAAAACCATCTAGCTCGGGGTGGAGGAACTGACTCGGTATGAAATGGCAGGGAGAGCAGCAGTTCATAAAGTGTAGTGAGAATGGTGCTGGTATTCTTCAAGCAACATTTGAAGACCTTTTACGTTACATTTGTTACCATGAAAGATGTCCCTTATCTTCCTTGCTATGCTGATCTGCTCTAAGAAATGCAGGAGTTCTTGAGGTTGGAACCAACAGCTTCTGAATTACTTTATTTTGTTGGTTTTATTTTTGCATAACTTTCCAGGTTTTAAGTATTGAGAATATGTCCTGTTGTGTTTTCTCTGACTTCAGGTAACACATGAAGACTTAAGGCCATTGTTTTCTTTTTTGAGAATACAAGGTCATTAAAGCATGCTCTTTAGGTAATGAAGTTGAGATGTTATCACAATCACGTGTAAGAAGATAGACTAGCAAAAGTATGTAGGGTTTTAAATCCAGGTAAGATCTCATAAGCTGATGATCTACCTATTTTAAATCAAAATTAGTTTCATCAGGATATGAAGTTGAGGCTGGGACTTCCTCAGAGCTTAAGTTTCTGGTATCAACAATGTGCTTATCCCAGTAGAGGCATCCTTTTATTTAAAACAAAAGGAGAAAAAAAAGAAAAAGAATTAATTTTGTTCAGACTTCAAGTACAGGCTGCCCCCTTCTCGATTTTGGTGAAGTCTTGCAATTGCAAGAGTTCTTGGGGATTTTTCCCACAAAAAATACTCAGTGAACTTTTCCTCTTCTTGACATGCTGCTTGCAATCCTGAAAGGGAAAAAGGAAACTCTAAAGTCTTGATAGGCACATAAAGGGAGAGCCTTGCTTCCAGTGTCTGCACGTGATTAAAGCTGGTTTTACAATGTTGTAACAACCTCTGAGTATCTGATTCTGAAGGTAAGCTGTACATGATTGACCTACTTCATGTTCTGTGAAAACCCTGTAATTATGGAAAGTTATAAACTAGATGTAGCATCCAGGGCAAGAGAGCATTGCCCTGGTAAAATACTTCTTAAATGCTTTCATTGGATTGTATGCTTGTATGTATGACTTAAAAAAAGTATTTCACTGCTTATGTTGTGCTGACAAACAAATGTCGGCTTACTTGAGATACACATATTGCATTAGCTTACAGAGTACATGAGTCTTTGCTGGGGAGGAGAGATGCAGGCTCTGGAAATGGCATCTAATACCTTGGGGAGGCCATAATGTAACTTGTGAGCATCACTAAACTCTTATCATGAGTATGATTCAACTTAGATTCAGTCATATTGGTTTCCTTCCAGAGGGAGTTAAGCTAGAAGAAGGCTTTATCAGAAGTTGTTTCTACATGAATTGAGCAATGTGCTTTAAATCTAGCCAAAATGATGACTAAGTAGAGGATAAAATATGCAAGTGGATAAATCATGAAACAGAAAATTACTAGAGAAATGGTGCTGAGATGAAAATTTGCTTTCTTTAACTGGAAGAGTTTATAATATATTTCTTACAAAGTCAGGCTGCAACTATCGCTTTCATTGTAAATGGCCTCTGGTGACTTCTGTGTCTTCTAATTCACATATGTGGAAGCACAGCTACAGTTCCCTGGAAACAAGGATCTTTATAACAATTGCAGCACACTGGTAGCATTGTATGGACTGTCCCGAAGGAAGGGTCTTCCTGGAGCTCAGTGTAGTCAGATTTGCCACATGGAACACACAAGGCTGCTGTGTCTTACATTGTGAAATCTGGCCTAGAAAGTAGAGCTGGATCTGAAATGAGGTGTGTAGCAATGCTTTGGAATGATGCTGAGACATTTGTATTGAAGGAATTGAAGAATGCTGCTCTTGATTGAGAGAGAGACAGAGAACGGTAAACATCTGTTGGGGAAAAATGATCAACAAGCTCTCACTCTAAAGTGACTGTATGTAACCAGAGGCATTATTTTTCAAAGCGTCCATGAAGAACAGTATTTAGCTGTTCAAATTCCCAAATACCTCTTTAAATGCAACTATTGTCTTACTATCTCCATTAATGCTGGACACTCTAGAAATAATTAGGCTGAGCTCCTCATAAATCTCACTTCTGTAGCAGAAAAGCATTTTCCACCCTTTAATCCTTCCAAGAAAAATCCAGAGACCAGTGTAATAGTCTCTTAGTCTCACTGTCAAACCAACAGTATTAATGGCTTAAAACCAGTGGAGTAACTGAATTCACAACCATATTTATAAGGGAGATTTATTGGTGTATCATTATAACAGCTGCTTCACTACAGCCATTTACAGTTCAAAAGCCTTAATTGAAGGGGAAGCGGGTGTTAAATTTCAAACAAAGGCTTTCTCTATTTAAAACACTTACTTGTCTGAACTGCTTATCTTTTGAGCTCCTGAAGTCTGTTTTTTGCTAACTGTGGTCTCCAGTCCTGACTTGTTGCTTGGAGAAACTGTTGAAACAGTGAATTAAATGTTTCTGTTTTATTGGGGTACAGGTTTGCAAGAGTTAATAAAAGGGTGTAATCTATCCTTACAAATGCAGAAGTCCCAGGAAGAGCAGGAGGCAGAGAAAATGAATGGTTGTTTTTCCCTTTGCAGGTGTCCTTTTTATTACACCTTATCTAAAGAGATAAAACAACATCCCCCCAAACTCCCCCTAATGAAAAAAATCATTGTGTACTTTTGTTTTAATAGCAGGAAAATAATGTGCAGGGGCAGGGTGGGGGAGCCAACCCCAGAACTAAAAAAGCCACTTCTTGGTTGATGACTGGTCTATTCAAGAGATGAGGGATCAGACTTTCAGACTCTTCCAGGCTCTGTTTGCCAAGTAGGCAAAGGAGTGAGTTCACATCTTTCTTTATGATGCCTCTGTAAGAGTTGACCTGAGTAACACGGGGGAAGTAAAGGGATCTTATGTCTCTGTTGAGTTTGGTTTGGCAGGCAGCGTTGTGTTGAGGCAGCGCAAAGGGTGAATGCTTGGGTTTTGGGTGACCCTGTTTTTGGATCTTCTCTTTCTTTCCTTTGTTGTCCTTTTGACTTTTGCCCTTTCTTTCTGTTTTCTTCTCTATTCTCTTCCCGCTGAAGTGACTGTTGTATAAAGGATTAAGCTGGAGCCTTTCAGAAATAGATGTTGTGCCTAGTACCTACCCATGGGTATTTAAGGCCATGACTTTGATTACAAAAGTCTCCTTGTGTTAGTACTGGTGAATATATTCCTTCTTTGGATGTCTGGATATGAAATAGATCACAATGTTCCCATTTTCAGCAGTGGTGGTTTTCATGAAAAGTAGAAAATTTTTAAGCTCTCTCAACTGCTTAATTCTTGGTGGGTAACATGAGGAGAGCAAACCTGGCCAGGAAAATGTATGTGTTGTGTAGTGAAAATGAGGGTCCTGATTCATTTACTGTATTTGAACTCCTTCCATTTAAAAACTCAGTATGAAGAATGGTACTAAATTGGAGGTTGGTCCCCCTAGGACCTCTCTCTGATACTAGTTTAGAAGGGGTTTAAATGGAGTCTGAAGGGATGCAAACTCTAAAATAAATCTCTGCTTCTTTCCCCTCCTCCCCCCCACTTCCCCTCTTCTCTTTAAACAGGAATTTTTGCTTATCTAAACTACAGAGTGCCTCGGACTCGGAAGGAAATTTTTGAAACCCTGATAAAAGGATTACAGAGGCTGGAATACAGGGGATATGACTCTGCAGGTATGTAAGCTAACTCAACAAATCAATTCTAGCAACCTGTAGCTGCTTACATGACTTTTCGGGTACTTTCAACTTCTGCTTGTTGGATTTTTCTTTCCTTTTTATCCTGCAGATTAAAAGATAAGAACTAATTACCTTAATTCTTGGAGTTTCTTCTTCAGCTTTTCTCCTGACTTTAAACTGGGTGTTCAGCTCTCTAATCAGATGGAGTTGGAGGTTTAATACACAAAGCAAACAGGGTGTGAGGAAGCAGGCCTCCATACCGGGTCATGTAGGTTGTGCCTCAGCCTTTTTGGGGCATGTGAGTCCCAGTGAAAGGATGAGAAAGATTAAACTTCTCTTTAAATTCCAGTTGGCTAATTTCATCAGACGAAATATATCAGTCTGTCCTCAAGCAAAACTGGAGATGTCTCATGTATATTTTCATCTGTGCAGTGGATATAGACTTCATCTAGTTTGAGTTGAACATACACAGGTCTAGCAGCAGACTTCAAGTATATCCATTTGAAGGATAATTTAAAAGTAATTGTTTCACTACTATGTGCTTGTCTGTATTTTCTCAGCCTTTTTTTCATCCATTGTATTTCACGCTTTAAATAACTCTTGTGACTGTGTCCTATGCTGTAGGAGTGGCAATTGATGGAAATAATAATGAGGATAAAGAAAGATTCATCAAACTAGTTAAGAAAAGAGGAAAAGTAAAGGCCCTGGAAGAAGAGTTGTACAGTAAGTATCTTAAGAATTACCCCTTTACTTTGGCCTCCCAGTCAGATATTATCTGCATTTCAGCAGAAAGTCAGACCATGAAATTACAGTTATGGTTTTGTACCAGAAATAACTGCATTGTGTAATCCAATGGCAGTTAAATTGCTTGTGCCCCCCCAAATCTCCACTTGAAAAGCAAGCTGATCTCTAGGTATAGTGCTGTGACATTATCAGTCTACTCTCCCCTTTTTTGGTCGCTTCTTTGTTCAAAACCTGGGCTCCCTTTGCGCTTTACTCAGACATTTCTGTAAAACACTGAAACATGGACTCTGACAGAATTTATGACCTTTTAAGCAGCTGGCTGTCATCACAATCTGCTTTATGCAGTGTTCCATCTGTGAGAAGCTGAAGTTGGGTTTTAATACATTTACATTATAATTTGTAGTAGTGTGGTATGTTAGCCTAGCTGTTAGTATTGGCTGAAAATGCCTGAGTCTTGGCAAACAAAGTTTTAATCACAGTAGCTTGAACTATCTGAAGTGTAATGTCAAGAAAGCAAATGGTTTAAAAGCAAGCCAGAAGATAACTTTCAGATACTTGCCTGTAGGAATTCTCGCGCTGTTTGCGTGTGTGAGAGAGAGAGACTATATTCTATGTACTGAACATGAATATTCAGCAAACTGATTGTTTTTCTGTGTAGAACAAGATGATCTGGATTCAAAAACAGAATTTGAAACACATTTTGGAATTGCTCACACTCGCTGGGCGACCCATGGAGTACCAAGTGCAATAAACAGTCACCCTCAGAGATCAGATAAAAGGAATGGTATGTAATCTCTGCAGCACTGTGAAACTGCATGAATTTGAAATGGTTCAATCCACATAGTACACAGGTTCTCTGTTCTTACTAGTGTCACAAACTAAATACACAAAACTGTTTTGTGTATTAGGGCTAAGCTGTTGCCATTCTATCTAGGTGAGGTGCTTTCGCAATAATGTAGCCTCTTCTGAGGCTAAAGTGAGACTGTAAAAGATTAGTGAGATCTGTTCTCTGAAAACTGATGCAAGTTAGTTGAACTACAACATTCTTGTTTTAAAAGGTAAGGCTGAAAATGTGAACACATCAATATTGGCTGGGCTGGAAAAGGGAGGTGGTGTATCATTTTTCACTTCAGATGGCTTGGTGCCATTTTACTGGGTGTAGTTTAAAACTGTCTTAATGATTTGGAACAACCTTTGTATGCCTCCAGAATTTGTAAGCTTCCACTTTCTGTTGTCCATGTGATAAACTGTAGGTCTGAAAGCTGTAGTAGGTAGTTTCTAGTGTACTTCTGAGCTTTTTTTTTCCCCTATACTTTTGTGTTCTGTTAAATATCTTAATTATTCATTACTGATGAATATGTATATATTTCATTTTAGAGTTCGTTGTTATCCATAATGGAATCATTACAAATTATAAGGACCTGAGAAAATTTCTGGTGAGTCTATGGCAACTTGATTCTAAAACTGGAACGTAAATGCTCCACCAGTTATCATCAGATCTTTCATGACTTTGTTGGAATCTGAATTCAAGTTTCTTGATTTCATCTATAAAACAGTAATGAAGAAGTGTGCCTAACAAAGATACTCAGGCGCTGGTAAAGTTACTGTAATCCTAAATGCAAAGTACTTAAAGTAGCAATTTGCACTCAAATTCTTTGAGAGGGTGTGTGGAGTGGGCTCCCTCCTGTCTCTTGTTGCTTGACAGATGCTAAGCAAGTCTTACTACATGTCTTGTTATAGCTACTCTTTCAGAAATACTATAATAAGATCAGTCTTTATGTTTTGTCTATAGTGATATGTACCTACTAGTCCAGTGTAGTGCTCCATGCAGTCTGTGCAGTTTCTGGTGGGAGGCAGCCAAGAGGCTCTTCAGTGTTTCTTGCCTGAGGATGAAAACCTTTTTTCCTATTTTATATGCTATTTCAGGAGAGCAAAGGGTACGAATTTGAATCTGAAACAGATACAGAAACCATCCCTAAATTGATCAAATACATGTATGACAACAGAGAGAGTGAGGACACCAGTTTTTCAGCCTTGGTAGAAAGAGTTATTCAACAGTTGGTAAGTGGAAAGTTCCTTTCTTGTGCTACAGTATAAGCTATTTGTAGGGTTCCTTAGTATTTCTTAGTATATGTGGCTGCATTTATGCATCTAGATCCTCTGCAGGAGTCCTTAGAAGGTGCTGCAAACAACACTTTTTTGCCTCTAAACAATGCTTAATAGGCCAAGAAATGAGATTAAAACTTTGGAAAGTTCAAAGGCTGTTCAATGATAAATCTTTAAATTGCATTAGCAGTGTTCTTTTGTTTGGTGGGTTTTGGTTCTTTTGTTTCTTTGATTGGTTGTTTGGTTTTTTTTTTTTTAAAGAAGTCATCACAGTTTTTAATGAAGCAACTTCATTAAAAAAAAATCATAGGAGCCTCTGGGGGTTGAAATCTCTCATAAAGGGCAGCGTGTTCTTAAAGGCTATTCTGATCATGTTAAAACACTGCTGTGATTCAAGTTTGTCTAATGCCTTGGCTCCCCTGTTTGGAAATAGATCTAACAAGTTGTACTGATTCACCACGTAGCTAGTTTCCAAACTGTGAAGTGGGAATCTCCTGTTACTTTGTGAATGCTTAAAAACTTCGATAGATGCATTACAGACTTGGAGAAAGCTTGCTTTGTTTCCTCCCCCAGTCTCCAGGCAGATGTTTTCCCTCCCCTTCCTGCAGTTTTTTATGCTCTTTTCACCTCCCCTTTCTCCTCTCTAAAGCAGCTCTGTAAGATTCCCCTAGAGCAGGGCTGGAATACACACGAAGTAAAGTTGTGTATGGGGCAAGAGGGAATAGTGGTGCAACCACCTTTTGAGGGGAAGGGTGGCTTCACCTGGCCACAGGACAAGAGCAGAGTAGTCTGACTGAAGTCCCTGCGGGAGGAGTGAATTGTACCATATCTCTTCTGTTTGTACAGTGCGGGGGGTTTGCTCCTGCTTTTGGAATACTGTTCAAGCTTGCAAGCTGTGGTAATACTGTAGAGTGGTTGATAGCGTGTTCCTGGTTTTTAATTCTTGCACTGTGTTTTGGTGAAGATCTTTTTTACTTATTTATTTGTGAGAATTTGCTGCTTAAGTTAGAAGTAGTAACTCCAGAATCTTAGCTGAAAATGCATGATGAAAGCAGCTACATGCACACTCATATTAAAAATCTTTCCAAAAGTAAATGTCTAACAGACTTCATGCCAATTAGGAGTAACACCTCGGAGATTTTCTTAACCCTTGCATTAGGAGGTATTGGTTTTATTTCTGAAGAGAGGCTAAATGCTCACATCCTGATCTTTCAGCTGTTGCAGTGTTACGTGCCGTTTAGCTTGTTCTGCTCTATGACCAATTCCTTTAAAGGTGCAGTCTGCCCTCCAGGAAGAGATTCCTGATAGAAGTAAAGAGCTTTCCTTCACAGTCCCCTCAGGAAGAGGGGCCCCATTTTAATGACATGCAACTACTGGAGATAAGTTAAGACTTTTTTGTTTCTCTTCTGTTTCCAGGAAGGTGCTTTTGCATTGGTTTTCAAGAGCATCCATTACCCAGGTGAAGCTGTTGCTACCAGGTTAGTAAAAGTCCATTTTATACATTATTCATGCTTTTTAGGTGGTAAAAAAACCCACCTTGTCGTCTCCTAAAGTTACTAAAATGCTGATGCTTAAAGTGCTTAATTAACCAAAACTCAGAAGGTAACTGCATTAATGGAATTCTTCTGCTGAACATCTCTTCAACTGACTGTTAAATATAACTTCATTTGAACTGTACTGACTGCAGGTCACACAATTTCCAGAGGCTTGTTTTGATTCTCTATAATCTTTAACATGATTTTGTTTAATAAATTTCCTGTGACTATTCACTTTTTGAGGATGCAAAGACAGTAGTGGAAAGTAACCAGATGATGTTTTCTTGCTTTATGCAAGTATGCATTGGGTTTGAGGTCATCCAGGTGATACACTCAGAGCATACCACTGAAAAACTCATTCCCATAGTGTGTTCTTGTATCTGTTACAGGGTGTCAATAAAGAAACTCAGTGCATCTTATGATACTAAGGTTGTATTAAGAGTATGTTAACACTTCCCTTATATCAAAAAGAAGGGGAAAGAGTATCATTCAAGTTTACTTCCCATTGAATAAAGACTGAGATAAGTTTGCTCAGGTTGGCTAAAATGCCATCATACTAACAGGTTTTACAAATAGTGTTCTATAATGGTCGTAGAATTTATGAGGGGTTTTTTTTACATGTAAGTTCTGCTTTTATTTATGACTTGGAAAACAACTTTCAGGAAGTGTAAAGATATTAAAGTAGCAAATGAATTAGCAGTGGGAATAAAGACTGTTTTATACAACAACCAAAAAGCCCCATTGCTTCTGTGCTCTAAAATGGGACTGCATTAAAACTGTGGAAAAGCCAAGTGTACCATCACTCTAACTGGAGAACATCTTCTGAAATGATCTATTCTATATGTGGTTCAGGCTTGGGTTTTCAGGAGTGAGTGGATTAAGAAAAGCTAAACTTGTAATCTGAGATTCTGTGTGTGTGTGAATTACTCTTTTATTACTGTGGGGTTTTTAAAATTTTATTTTAATCTCTTCAGTGTGGCGTCTGAGCCATATAATTTAAAAATGATCTTAACATTCTGTAGTTTCAGAGGTGCAGTGGTGATGGTTGACATTTCTGCATTTAAAGGTTAAAGTTTGGAACAGAATTTCTATGGTAAAGAGCACTGGAGTTTAGCACTGCCTCACTAAAGAAGCAGAGTAAGCTTTGTTTAAATAAAGGTATTCAAAATGGGACCTGTGCTAAGCTGGTTTGTGATTACTGGAGGGAAAACAACTAGTTCATGTATATTTTCCTCTATCTGGGTGTAGTTCATGGGTAAAGAATGACCAAGGCGTTGTGGTACTTATTCATATAATAATATTTGGTAAATCTTACAGAAACAAGCCAAGTTTATAAAACTGCGGCCATGTAATGGCTTTAGGATCAGGGTTGTAAGGAGGATCTTCCTCTTTAGGAAGCTAGATAGGATATTGTCTTTCAGCTTCACACATGTTCTTTGACTGTTTTGTATGCACCTTTCTCTTTTTAAACTTGTGTATTTTGCCTTTGTAGGAGGGGGAGTCCGTTACTCATTGGGGTTAGGAGCAAGTACAAGCTCTCCACTGAACAGATCCCTGTTTTATATAGAACATGTAAGTTAATAAATCCAATTACATTATTTTTAAGAACTAAAATTGTTGTTACTTCATGATTAGAAATTAGCTTAATTGGTCTTTGAACTATAGAACTACCAGCTGATGTCCCAGATAGCTTCTTAGCTGAGGATATTATATTTTTATATTGCTAAATGTGTAATCCCATCCCCCCAAAATACTTGTGTGACTGTGATACCTTAAACCTGTAAAGTCTGTAATCTCTTAACTTGAACATATCTGGCTTTGCATTTAAAGTGTCTCATTTCCTTAACAGGCAACATAGAGAATGTGAAGAACATGTGCAATTCACGAATGAAAAGACTGGACAGCTCTACCTGCCTTCATGCTGTTGGGGATAAGGCAGTAGAATTCTTCTTTGCTTCTGATGCAAGGTAGTACAAGTACTTAAGTGTTTCACAAAATACTGTTTTTGTTTAGAAGTGAGATAGTTCTGGAAATCTCATTTCTTGCTGCTGTACAATTGTTTCTGATAGAATAGCTTCTAATCCAGGCAACTTCATAAAGCCCCCAGGCTGAGATACTTGTAAAATAGGAAGGCTTGACATCAGTGTCAAACAAATGCAGTATCTGCCAGTTGTTAGCCTCTGTATAAAATATATCCAGTGTAGGAAGATAAGTTGGGTACAGATAGACACTGTCAGCTGAGTGTTTGGGCAGACTGTAGGTTACTCTGGGTGTTAGCATTTTAATCTATCAGAGGATGAAATAGTGGTGAGGTTCCAAACTCGGCAGGAATCTGGACATCAGGTATGCGTTTATCTCAGAAAGTAGATCATGGCCTTATTGGGGGTCCATCAGGGCG